GTTAAATGTTGCATCGATTTTTCGTCATGCTGCTTCGTAAATGGCTTGATAAAATGTAGCTTCAAGAGTATCACGCAATAAAGTTGTCGAAAAGTTTGAGAATGAATTCATTTTGGTAATGAAATCATTTTATCAAGGTCGAGTTACAAACGAGTGTACTACTAGTTGATTTCGAGTCACATTATAATTCAGTAGATTGTAATTGTAATTGTAATTGCTCAAGCGTAAACGAGTAGTTTGTGTCAATGGTTCCAGCGACTTTAATCCTCGTCGTTCCTTTGTTACAATTGTAATTACCGATGTCTATAAAATCGGAGGAAATAACGATCGTGATCTCTGAATTTCAAACGCGACGCCTATTCCCTCCATATTTTCTAATTCAGAAATCCACTGTGTTCAAACTATGTTCAACTAAGCATATAATTTAACACACAGGTATAGTAAAGTTCTTTGTTTTACTTCCAACATTAACTTCCATTTCAAGTGATGTTTCCTTTGCACAATTTAATCTTCGTCGGTATAACTTCGTGAAACACCTCGATGAACAAAAGAAACATTCGCAAAACCTTGGTTGTTGCTCGCGTAACAATCGCATTAGCGATTTAATTTGTATCCGAATCGATGGCTGACGACGTTTTCTTGATGGGAACGTCGCGGGTCCGCGTTTAATTTCCTTCTTCTGGCTTGATACGAGCCCCTCCGCGTGATATCGATTTCCCGTTTAGGAAGCAATCAACCAGCACGAGCAGACGGTTTCCTTAATACGTTTATTTCTCTCCAGATTTGATCCGGTGTCGTCTTGCGTAAAACGAATCCGGACGAGCCAGCTGCCGATGCATATTCATGCTACCTCTCGTATTCTTTGGCGACCAAAGCGTCTAAACCCTTCCCGAACGCTGTCGCTGCGATATAATTTTTCGTCGGCGTACCGTGGACTATATATTACATTGTGTTTTCAGCTCGTTTTACAGCACCATCTGACAGGAATGCTGCGACGACTCATAAAGCAACCGCCAACGGGCAGTTCTCTTTTGCTACGAAGAATTCGCTTCTGTTTCAATATTCATTGTACTTTGTAACCTGCGTCGAGGGAGGAACGTGCGTTTAACGGATATTAAAAAAATTCCTCTGTCCTTTCTGGCCTTGTTGCGCACACTTCGTGGACATTCACGCGTGTACACTCCCCTCGAAAAATATTAGGACACTCGCAGTAAATGAAATAAATTTAGGAAACCATTAGGAAATTGTTATAATATCTTAAATTTATTTCAAAGTTAGTTATATCAAGCTGGGAAAGATATATATAGTTTACATTATAATAGTAATAACGTTAATTTTGCATCTTCGTTAGTGATACAATGTATCATTAGTCAGACGTTTCTGTTTTCAGAGGTTATAGATTGAATATTATTGCGTTGAAAGTAAACATCGTGTTAATTTATTGTTTCGGTATCGTTGGAAAATATAACATCTTAAATTTGTTTCAAAATTAGTTATATTAAGCTGGGAAAGATATATATAGTTTACATTATAGTAGTAATAATAACACTAATTTTGCATCTTCGTTAGTGATACAATGTATCATTAGTCAGACGTTTCTGTTTTCAGAGGTTATAGATTGAATATTATTGCGTTGAAAGTAAACATCGTGTTAATTTATTGTTTCGGTATCGTTGGAAAATATAACATCTTAAATTTGTTTCAAAATTAGTTATATTAAGCTGGGAAAGATATATATAGTTTACATTATAGTAGTAATAATAACACTAATTTTGCATCTTCGTTAGTGATACAATGTATCATTAGTCAGACGTTTCTGTTTTCAGAGGTTATAGATTGAATATTATTGCGTTGAAAATAAACATCGTGTTAATTTATTGTTTCGGTATCGTTGGATTTGTCTCGAATTTTCTTTTCGAAAAGGAAATTACGGAATTTCTTTCCTGTTGATGAGAATTAATTTTGGAAAGCAACAACACTCTCTTTATTCCTGTATAAATTCCAAAATGTCAGTAGTTCACGAGCAACGTTCCCACCGATATCGCTGTGAAGCTTCAAGAGAGATATCGTACTTTCGTTTTCCTTTCTTTTTTTTTTTTTTTTGTGCATCCAACATGAACGTTAACGTCGTTGACACGGAAACATGATGGACGTTTCGGGCGTGCGCCATTTCAACAATGCATCAATTCGCCATGCTCATCGAGCGGTTGCAAGGTGATCTTTTTTTTTTTTTTTCACTTGCGAACAGCCTTCTCGTGTCTTCGAACATTTCACGTATTAAATTTCACGTATTAAATTCATAAAAGCAATTACACAATTTCTACTTCACGTTCAACATTCCATTTTTAATCTACCTTAAACATTTCTTACTAGGAAAATGGTTATTTTGACCATTTATATATCAGTCATGAAAAATTCAAGTACAGGATGATGGTCATGTTAGTTAATTAATTAGAAAATTCTCTTTATTTCTGCCCTTTCATTTTTTCGAAAATTTCCTTATTGATGAATCCTTTGTCCTTTTTACATAATGAAAAATTCAAATACAGGCTTCGATGATGACGAGTTAATTAATTAAAAAAGAATTCTTTCCTCGCTTTTGTCCTGTCATTTTTTCACAAATTCCTCTGAGTTTCTTTTCTGTATTGTAATATACAATTGTATTATTGTACAACAATAAGTACTTTCATTGTAATATTATTATATACAATCATAAAAAATTCAAATACAGATTTGAATGGATAGTCAATTAATTAGATAATTCTCTCCCCGCTTCTGCTTTCTTACTTTTTCGAAGATTCCTCTATAGACGAATGCTTTGTCCTTCCTGCGGGATGAATGGTTCGATTCAATCTTCGTACGCTCCATCGTTCATTGTGACGGTAGTAGGGCGAGTTATAAAATCGGAAGGTGAAAGATGAAAAGGAAGTGTGCGGAGGCGTCCCTGTAATTTCGTGAAAGGGAACGCGCGCGTGTTATAATTTCGCAGATTCATTGTTCAGGAATTAATTTCTCATTTCGCGTTTTTAGGTGCGGTCTTTTATTATATATATATATATATATATATATATATATATATATATATATATATATATATATATATATATGAATTGCCTGAATACGTAGTAAGTTGATTCGCTATGCTCAACGCAAATTCATGCGCTTCTCTCTCCCCTACCCTCCAAAGAATTAATATTTCCTCGTTCCTTTATTACTGCAGTTATGAATCACGCTTAAACAGCCGTGATTGTTTCAGTGTCTTTTAGAAAAATTGATGTTACGAATAATTTGATGTTAAGTAATCTTCGTCAGTGATACAACGTATCATTAGTCGGACGTTTTTGTTTTCAGAGGTTATAGATTGAATATTATTGTGTTGAAAATAAACGTTGTGCTAATTTATTGTTCCGATATCGTTGGAAAAAATATTTCTGAAAATTTTATTCTATTTTATTCTACTAGTTCTTCATAGTGATATAATGCATCATTAGTCAGACATTTATATTTACATCACTTACAAATTATAAATTGAATGTTATTATATCGTAGATGAACATATCAATTTGTAGACTTGCTTATCATTATTTGGAAGGATATCTTTGAGAAGGAGTCGTCAGTGATGTAACATATTATTAGTCAGACATCCATTCCATTCTATGTCTATGTCAATATTATCACATACCTCGTGTTAATTTATAATCTGGTTACTGCTTGAACAATTATCTTCAAATGAATGGTATAATTTTATCAATTATCTTCAAAGTAAAACAATTATCTTCAAATAAAGGTAAAGTTACTCTCATGTCAAGAAAATGCAGTTAATCGAATTGCTTTAATCCTCTATGGCCCTGTAAATTTTTTTCGGGGTAACATTTACTTCTTTACATTGGTTAGAGACAATAATGGCTAACCAAGAGTATTATTTGCTACCAAAGAGACGTTATTTGTTACAAATAACCTCGTGGTGAAAAGAAATTGAACAAATCAATAAGATGTCGACATAGTGATCTCAGTACGTGATCTCAGTCGCACCAGACTATAGGGGGTTAATTTAAATCGTCGAAGGATCTACATCCTATTAAACATCTCGCACGATTCAGCGAGACAGTGGCGCCCAAGAGATCAGACAGGGATCCCGATAATAATTTTTTGCTTCCATTTGGGAAAGTTTCTCGCGAGATCTGGGAAGGCGGTTCCTGTCAGAAACAGCTTCTGGCGTGGTTTATGGTGTGCCTCTTGTACTTACCACCCCAGCTAAGGAGCAGCGGAGAAGGATTTCGGCGGAGCCCTCCGGCCGAGCATAATGCTCCCATTATCTCCAGTCCTTTCGTCTATACCGCGCGTGCACGTTGCTTCGCTAATGCACCGGGTGTCCACGTAATTTCCCACCACCTTCGATCCAACCAGCCGATTTCCGTTTTCCTTTTTTTCTCTCTCTTTCTCTCTCTCTCTCTCTCTCTTTTCGCGAGGATGCTCGTGACACGGCGGTAAACTCGGGGAACGAGACGATCTACGAACGAGCCGGCGCGTCGAAACGAGCAAAAGTGCGCGACGAGGGAGGATAGAAGGATGATAGAGGCCGTGTCAGCCGGCCAGAAACACCATTACGGTAATATCTCGCCGGGCGAACAAGTGATTTTTAAGGAGGCTAGCCTGCCATTTCACGGCAATTTCGCCTCCCCCTCTCTACTCTCTTCCAACAGTCTAGAGTATAGCCGATGCTCTCATAACGGGGACGATTATGAAAATTCCGCGTCGTTTTCGTTTTACCAAAGGTACACAGGACCCTTCCTTCGACATTCTTCGACGTGAATTTTCCCATCTTCTCCGTCGTACGTGTATCGCGTACATCCAACTTTATGAGAACCGGATGACGCTTGTCGTACGAAGGCAAGATTAATAGGGCCCCGAAGCTTGCACGAAGATACGCGCGTAGATACATGTCACGTACAATGGACGACGCTCACGGAGCATTCTATTTGGTATTCTATTCGTTGCAGATCCATCGGCCTCAGGCTCCTCCTGCGAGGATGACGAGGATGGTCGTCGAGTGGACATCAGAAAGCGCAAGAACAGCCTGTACGCGTCTTCCTCGACTCGCGCTCCGTCAGTAGACAGAGAGAGAGACTTGAACTCGACCGACGGGATCGCTGCGGTGGACTGCGTAGCCCTGGTACATCTCGCGGATCAGTCGCCGACCGAGCCTAATCAACCGGTCCGTCATCCATCGCCCTATTACTACGGTGATCTGTTCAAGGTACCGGAGCAAGTGAGCAAGTCGCAGCCGAACAGGTACAGAAAGAGCGTCAGTCTCGACGTACCGGGTGAACGTTCACGAACACCCGGTATACCAAAGAGAAACTCGGTGGCGGGTGATGGGGGTTCCTATTCGTCTCAGCAACAACAACAACAACAGCAGCAGCAGCAGCAGCAGCAGCAGCTACAGTCGCAACATTATCAACAGCAGCAATCACAGCAACAACAGCAGCTACAGCTGCAGTTACAGTTATACCAGCAGCACTATCCGTTACAATCACAACAGCATTATCAAAGTCAGGATCTAGTGAGCCCCACGTCGGGGAGCGAGCATGCTGTCCCAGCCAGAAACGAGATCCTCTCGTCGTGCATCATCACCGAGTGGGATCACACCCTCATGCCTCCGCATCGACTGTTGAGCCATGACCTACCGACCACCGTTTGCACTTGCGTCGCATCGGCCGAAGAGGAGGAGGATGAGCTAGATCAACGGCAGCCGCAGCTAACGCGGCACCAGGTGCGCAAGCTACGCCGTACACGGAGGATAGACCCGCAGCCGATACTCGTCGAGGACGAGGACGACGTGGAGGGAGAGGACGAGGGTGAGGAAGAGGAGGAGGAGGACGTGGACGTGGAGCTGGAGGAAGACGAGGAAGAGATGGCTAGGCAACGTCACCTCTACGAGACGGCCTTCGACTGCAAGGTCAATCGCTCTGACGACGACCTCGACGACCTCGATCGGGTTACCAATCATCCCGTGCTGCATTCCCAGGTACGTGCCGATTTCCCCTTCGCTTTCTCTCTCGTTTATTTGCTTACTTGGTGGGGAAAAGAGAAGAAACTACGTTGAGGATATATATAGGAAAAGAAAGAGAAAGAAAGAACGAAGTGCAAAAATGTAGAGGTAAAAGGTGATAATATTTGTGAAAGAGGACGAATTGCCGAAAATCGTTTACCGTATCCTTGAAACGTTAGCATTAAGGGAAGAAAAGGTAAAAATATAATATAATATAATACAAAAATAATGATGAAAATGTGAAAGTGAGAAGAACAATGTTATTGCGAAAGAGGATGAATTGCTTTACAAATTTTATGTTTAATTCGAGATCGACGTCTTGCTAGACGTTTTTTGTTTGCTTAACTTTTAAGCATAGAACTGTGATTGATCGGGTCTGATTAATTCTGTCTTTTCTTTTTCTTTTGAAAGTTTAGTTACATATGTTCTAATACTCCCGGTTATTTACAATTGTACCGTTTTTACGGAAACATTTGCGTTTTAGGATTCATTTCCCCGAGTTGGCCCTGCGCCGCGATATTAGGAAAGCGAGGGGTCTTTAATGAAAAGCAATTAAAGTCCAATATAGCTCAAAATGTTACGGGATTTCGGAACACGAACTATCAATCTCTCCCTATCACGCGCAAATTGGACTTTAATTGCGGTCGAGCCGTATAATTCGCTCATTAGACAGGCTAATTATATCTTCGTATTGTGCGAACTAACTCTCCATATACTCGAAAGATCCGCGACAATTAATTAATTCTCCCGTGCCTCGAAAACTTACGAAAAAGATTTCATTGAGAAATGAAGAAGAAGAGGAAGAGAAAAAAACCAAATGTCGTTTGATAATACAGATGAGAAGCAGCAGCGCGATACCAGTAAGCAGAACGAGCTCGTCGACGGACACGTCGAAGCAGCAGCAGCAGCAGCAGCAGCAACAACAACAACAGCAACAGCAGCAAGCCCTGTACGCTGGTCAGTCCCACAGTAGCAAAGATCGACGCAAGGTCGTACTTCTCCGCCCAAAACCAATTCCGAGCCGTCTTCAGCAACAGCAGCAGCAGCAGCAGCAGCAACAGCAGCAATCAGACAATATTTCTACTCTGTCCCAGGACATCGAATCCCTCCAGATCAATTCCAGCGACGAGAAAACCGGGTCGCCGAGATTACCGGCCCGGGGTTATACACCGTCGCCTCCATCCACGGCACCGTTGCCCGCCAAATTTCACGGCAACCGTGACCACTTGTTGTTGAACATACGCAGCACGCCGAATCTACCCTCGCAACCGGACCATCCGCGCCTCAAGGATCTCCGGCTGCCCGTCAAGTCTCTGCTGAGGGCGAAGGACTCGCCTCAAAGCAGCGAGGGCAGCATCCTCGAGATCAAAAGCAGACCGAAGAGTTTCGCTCAGGACAGCGTGTCGTTGGAGTCGTCTCAGGGGCGACGTTTCGACAAGGAGCTGATCCTTGAGTTCAAAGGCAGGCCGCGGGAGGAGCGGCAACGACCGCGCAGCCTGATCCGCGAGAGCAAACCGATCATGGAGTTCAAGGGCAGGCCCCACGAGGCCGAGAGCGATCTGTTACGACCTCGCAGGGACGTCGGCCTGTTGGAGTTCAAGTTGCGGACTAGTAGACGCAGACCCGGGTATTCGAGCACGGAGAGCATGGCCACCAGCAGCAGCGGAGGTAGCATGGAGTCGTTACGGAGCAGCACCAGCGAGGGCAACAGATCCACTAGCAGCTCGGAGAGCCGTCACAGCACCAGTCTCAGCTCCCACAGCTCCGACAGCGGCAGCACCAATTGCTACCATCATCATCAGCAGCCGTCGATGACCGCCTTCCTCACTCATCACGCCAACAAGCTGCACATACTGTCGCCGATCTCTGACAAATCGTCGCAGGAGCCCGCGTCCGAGACCTCCGACAACAATCGCAACAACAACTCGCAGAAAGCATCGCCGGAGGAGAACGTGACCACGGAGAACAACGTGACCGCGTCGAACAACACCAACACAAACACCGGCAACACCAACACCAACTCCGTGACATCGCCGATGGACACGTCGTTCAAGAAGAGGCGCACGCCGCAGAACAAGAATCTGATCAATCTGGCGCTGCAGTCCTCGTCGTCGGGCGATGCGGAGATCCAGGGGTCGGACAGCGGTATCTCGATCGAGTCACGGGCCGGCATCAAGTGCAAACCGTTCGGCTTCCACTTGTTGAAACCGCAGTTGGACAACATCAATCTCGTGGACAACGAGCCGGAGCTGTCCGATCTGCCTTTCGACATGCCGAAGCTGAGGAGGCGGCGGCTGCTCATGCAGCAGGACGCCACCACGTCTGGCAGCGCGACCAGCGTCGATCTCAGGGACCTGCCGTTCGACATGCCGAAACTGAGAAGAAGGCTACGATGCATGCAGAGCACGGAATCAAGCGGGTCTCAGGCATCATCCAGCCTGTCGATGCGAGACGTCGAGCCGCCCGCGTTGTTCGGTGAGTCTCAATTTTTCTCCTTTTTTCGTTCGACGAAAGGCTTCGTCGTGTAGTGTCTATCCAACGAAAATCAATTTGACACGAAGCAATTATTCGGATGTCGGACGATGAAACGAAAATTGGCTGATCCTCTTTCGCACGTCAACTTGATTCAGAACGCTTTGCAATATCTGTTAACGCATCAACCGAGCGAGGGTGGATGCTTTATTTCATCTGACGCAGCCAGAATTAAATTGCAAGCCATTTTGCATCCAATTTGACAGTGTTCTGATTATTGAAATCTGTGGTAGTCCATGGCGTGAAAATTCGAGCTGTTTGTTACTATCTTTGACATCGCAAACCAAGCTTGTGACACTGTAAAGCAGATAAGTTTTTTTATACGAAGCGGGTGTTTGAGACTGTTGATAATTTTGAAAGACGATGATGATGCATTGTTTCTTTCTTTTTTTTATTGAATAGTTAGGCATACTGACTACATCACGAGTTCGACAGTTACGTACCTAATAGTTACGTGATTCGACTGTTGTAGAACTTTCTCTTAAAGAAGACATGCTGAATAATATCTTGGAAGGTACGCTTTAATCGTGTTTCTTATTTTCTACTTTCTTCCAAAGGTATCGTTGAAAATTTCTTTCGAGATAGTTCTCCAATTGTTTTTCCAACAGATCTTCGTGAACATTTGTTGTTTCTCCTAATTACATTTCGAACACGAATGTAACAAATTGTATTTCGAAATCTTTAAAAATATATTATCGAATTTCTCGTGAAAATGATCGTCAAAAGAATGTTTAATTGAAAGTATTCGATATCGTAATCGGACTCTGTCTTCTTTAATCGAGCGTCTAGCCGTTAAAACGATAAAAACCGTACTTTTGGTATCTCGGGGCAAGCTACTAAGTACTTATCAACGGTAGGGGACACCGTAATTTGATGCTGATCGTTATGAACCTTCCAGACAGCGGCTAATAACGTTAAGCTTCACTTAGCACCTGCATCCCTCACAGAAGCTAAATATTTAACGTTACCAACACACGCTCCTTAATATATATATATATATATATATATATACATACACACATATACCGAGTGATCTGTGATAGTAAAAGTGTCGAAAAGGTGAATGAAAGGCTACACGAATCGAAAGTATACAATATGAAACTCGGTTTTCGAAAAAATTGATTTTGAATACTTGTCTGACAAATGAGTCTCTATTCTACTTAACGCGCTTGACTACTTCAGTGTACTACACATTTAGTGTATTAAATGCACCATTACGTCAAATTTGATATAAAATTTGTCATTAAATATAAGTTTGTGTGTCACACATCAAGAATTAAAATAAATCCTCGAAAAATTCATACAAAGCTGCTTCGAGTCACTTCTAAATCTTACAACATAAACGCTTAAATATTTAAACGTTTTATTTAAATTTACAATGTATATTTATCTGTCGCACGTCAAGAATTAAAGCAAACCCTCCAAAAAGTGTATTTAAAATTCATACAAAGCTGTTTCGAGTCACTTCTAAATTTTACGTACACACTTAAATATTTAAACATTTAAACGCTTCATTTAAATATACAAAAGTAACATCAATCCCAAATTGCACGATTGAGTCCAGGAATGTTGGAAAGAAACAAAAGAAATGTTAACTCTCAAAGTAGAAATGCATCGCAATTTATAGAACTCTGTGCATGGAAAATGCAATGGAAACAAGGTTGAAGCCGTCAACCAATCGGAGGAGTGACACGCGCGACCCAGAAGCCAAATCATTCGATAGCCTAATACTCTTATAACGACGCCGATGGGAGGAAAAAAGACGACAGGCAAAGCCAGGGATTTGTCAGATCGTCGATTTATGCGTCGTCGATCACCGATCACCCGCGCCCACCTAACGCTCGAAGCTTGAATTTCCCGAACTACGTCGGTGTTAGTCGGATGATTAAGCTTCTGGTCCCCTGTTTTGCAACCAGTGTCGTAATCACGAGCTCCCCGAGCTTTGCGTGCCGCGTTTTGATGGCAGCAGCCAGCCTCCGGCCCTGGAAATTGCGAGAGCTTCAACGCGAGAGCTTCAAGCTTGGTGTCGCGTTGCCTCCGGGCGAAATCTGCGTTGCGTAGCGATCGTAGGGCGCGTAAATAGCTAGCCGTGCCTGTGTTGGAAGTTGCACGAGCATGTGTGTCCTCGGGTGTTGCGCGACGCACGATGTGGATACAAAAACGTGAAAGGAGCGTCAATAAATGGACGAACGCTGGCCAAGTCGATTCTTTCGAACGTATCGACTGCTGGGAAATTAATGGCACTCCATGGTACTACGACTGAAAGGGAGAAAAATTGTGACGATGATGAATTCCCTCTGTTTTCATACGTTTTGGTTTTTGTTTGCGAGTGGTTCATTGCGAGGGGTGAAAGAGCGATGAATATTTGTATATAAAATATATATTATATTTATATGTTTGTATATAAAATATACATATATTATATCTTTATTATATATTTATATAATATATATTAATAAATATACATATATTATATATTTATTATATATTTATATATTATATATATTAATAAATATACATATATTATATATTTATTATATATTTATATATTATATATATTAATAAATATACATATATATATTTATATATTTGTATATAAAATATATATTATATATTATAATATATATATAAAATATATATTTTTATATAAACAGGGGAACTACGTGAAAGAACGAGAGCCAAACGTGGTTTTACGAGTTTCATAAATTATTTCGGTGGAACAATCTGTTTCGAAATATCGTTTTCTCCAGAAGTTCTTTAGAGGAACACTGAAATTTTCGCGCAGCAGTAATCAACACAGTGACGGCAAATTTGCACTGAACAGTTTCGTTCACCATTCCGGGAGATTGAAATAAATTTACAAATAGATTAAGTCGCTGGTAAAATACAGGAGTCGATACGTTGGTGTATTGTACGCCACGGTATATCCGGTTTAACGATAACGAAAATTGATTGGGACTCGCTTATAGGTTGCACGAGCTGTTCTTCATATCGCTCGCTCTCGATAGCACGGTCGCCGCGTTTCGTATTCCAGATTTTCACGCGTCGCAACCGCGCTGGATAATGGATAAAATCCTCGATAAGTCTGACAGAAAAAGAAAAAAAATAATGTTCCCTTTTCGAATGGAAATGTCAAACTTGCATTAGAAATTTTACGAGATATTTATTGAGAAAGAAAAAGTTCTACGGCTCGTACACAGAGATTCAGAACAAAATTTCTAACTAACCTTTACAATTTCGAGCGAATATTAAAAATTTTTCTCAAATTTTCACGAACGTGAATTTAATTTTACGTTTTTATAGAACCTGCAGCGTTTATCTTTCATTGTAATAAATTGTATATTATATATATATTATAATAATAGTATATATTTTATACATATTATATAAAATGTGCCATCGAAAAATTTACTATCGGAAACGTGAAACTTGAGCAATTCGCAACGTGAACGACGACCCCAGCGCCTGCTCGAGACTCATTCAATCATTTTATGTATCGCCATATATTCGAAGGCGTCGTATTACAGATCCAGTTGTACACCGGCACTCGAATTCTCGATTCTTATGATCGGAGTCAGCTGCGACCAGATCGGGAAGCTATTTTTTCCCCCCTCCGAGCTTGATGGATGTCGGCTGGCTCGCAGAGCCGTAAATTACGTTTTGAAGAGGGAATGGGGCCGCAGCTTGAGAAACAGATTCCCCCGAAAATCTCCGCGCTTTTTTTTTCGAGCCGCTGACAATTACTTATCGCAGCCTGGGCAACTTTAAGCACGGATGATCGATCGTGTTGTATCTGTTTTTTTCCTTCGTCTCCTCGATTTTATTAATTCCCCTCTGACTGATCGTCGATCGTGCAAAAAAGAAAAACAAAAAGACAGAAAAGATTGGCAATTTTCTGAAGGATCAGCGAACGAGCGGACAAAAGAGAAATTAATGTCCGGGAAATTTTGTTTTTCTTTCTTTTATTTTCTTCCCACGTCGTTGATTTATTGGCCGACTTTAATGGCGTTGCGACTCTTTAATTGGCCTCTGATCAACGGCGTCGCTCTACCGTCGACAATAACCTTCGTGAAATTATTGCGTCATTTGTACGAGGTAATTGGAAGGCAGCAACGTGTTAAACAGCGCACAATAACGAACAGGCCTCGTATGCGGGCGGTTTTTGCGTGGGCGAGACCGCGCGGGTGGTTTTGCCAGCGTTTCGATGAAGTCGGGGGAAACGAATGTCCGTGCTCTTCGGTATAATGCGCGCTGATGCGACTTTGTAACGAGCAATTAGTAATTGAATGATTACAAACCCTGCTACGATCCGTGAATTGTTTTATATTTCGATTTTACAGTCATTAGCGGGATTTGTAATATTTTGGAAAGATTTAACGAAGATTTTTGACATAAAATTTAATTGAATCAAAAAGATTATTTCACGATCTATGAAACTATTTTGACAAAATTTGTTACTTTTGCAATCAATATCACCGACTGTTAAATATTTACATACAATTATGAATATGTTGATTATTTTCCTTTTTTTCTAAACTCTTGCAAAACAATTTTCGATCCGAGAAGTAAAAGTACAACAAATAGTTCAACGGAAGTATTTTACTCTTCCGATTATCGACTATTGAATATAATTGCGTTACTTTTTTACGGAGTTGAATTACAAACGTATTCAAAACATTATACGATCAATTAAACTTCTCAAAGTCATTGGGAAACAAAAGTGTCGCAATGGTTGCTTGAATCCAAGAATTCTTAAATCCAAAAGCATCGACTGTTAAATATAGTTGTATTACTTCTTTTACGAAGTTCAATTAAAAACGTATTGAAAATGTGACACGATGAATGAAAATTATCAAAGCTCGTATCGAAATCAGCAAGAAACAAAAATGCTGCAACAGTTGCATCGACAGATGTTTTTTACTCTTACATCTTGCGCTAGAACGACGCCAATTTTCGAGGCCACGCACGTCGAGAATTTTTTGTCCCAAAATTGTAATATTTCCTCAGCTTTAAATATATTTAAGTAAAACAAAATAGGCAAAAAGCAAATAATAAATTTATTACTTCTCAGTAATTTCTATCCAGTAATATCATACCGACGAGTTGAAAAAGAAAGCGACAAATTATTGTGTATGTTTCGGTCGCTCGTTATGGTCCGCAATCAGTTGCCAGCGCAACGTGGCCAACTACAGTTGCACCTCCGTTTAAACAATTAAATTACAAACGATCGGACAACCGATTGCAAATTGGAGTGAATTCCCCAGGCGGGAAATTCAACGGGCAGGAATGATTTTCTTCCGAAAGGGCGAATCTCTGATATTCGCGCCGGTCGTTTTGTTCCCCTTTCGCTTTCTCCTCTGGCGTTTCATCCGCCACGACGGACGACTAACCCCGGAAGAAGCACGGTTCCACATTGTGCCTGCGAACAAAACGTCCGAGTTTGTAGCGGGGCGCGTGTCCACAATGCGCGTGAGGCCAGTGACGCGAATATAGACCGGGGCTCGAATCACCACCGGCCGCGATCTCTTTGTCCTCGTGTACATGCACGCGTTGCGTTATATATATTCTCGGCATAATTATACTGGGTGTCCATAAAGTCTCTTTACAATTTCAAAGAAATTTATTACGAAGGCAAATGAAAAGATAGACGAGTGGAAATTGGTACAAAATGAGATATACGTATATTTAAGTTTTTTTTTTTTTTAATGCACCTCTGAAGGGCGAAGGAGTGTTGATGGGGGTGCGAGAATGAAGGCAGGAGGAAAGGTTGTGCGTTTCGTCTCAGAGTCGCTGCCTAGACTCATCAGTGGAGCTTACCCCAGACGCTTGTTATTATAATTACTCGCTTAGACTGGACGGGCACCCATCCTAGCGGTGTTCCGCACTCTGTTTGCTTAACGTCGAAGATCGCTAGACTTCGACGCTAGGTGCACAGCCACTTTTTTTTTAATTTTTATTAACAGACGTTTATTTTGTGCCAGTATGTACAGTATTTACATATGTACAAAGGCATAACGAGTAAAAGCTCATCGGTTTGAAGTGTTCTTAGATTAAAGGCTTCAGCCCTGGAGCACGCGCAATCTTAAGATAGAAATTTGCTACATTGAACATGTTGCTACATTAACAGTAAACAATCGTTAATTTTCCTTAACTATGGAGGTTATGTTTTTTTTATTATTATTATTATTATACAATAAGGCACGGGATTGTACAATAATATTTTGGTTATGGGAACGGGTGGAAGAGAGGAAGAGGGGTGCTATTCTTATATATAATGTTTTATATTAATTATTGATTATATTCATTAAATATTATAAGACTATAAAATTGTTGTGCTGCACTGTATAAACACAACTATCTATAATATTGTATTAGAAATGTTTTAATATGGATTATCTTAGAGTTAGCTTAAATTCTATGTTGAACGTTGCTTTCTCTTGTTCGAAATGTGAAACAATCGTTAATTTTTGCCTTAACTATGGGGGTTGTTTTTTTTTTATTATTATTATACAATAAGGCACGAGATTATACAATAATATTTTGGTTATGTGTAAGGGGTGAGGAGAACGTGTGAAAGAGGGGAAGAGGAGTGGGAGTGCTATTCTTATATATAATGTTTTATATTAATTATGTTCATTAAATATTATAAGACTATAAAATTGTTGTGCTGCACTGTATAATTACAACTATCTGTAATATTGTATTAGAAATGTTTTAATGTGGATTGTCTTAGAGTTATCTTAAATTCTATGTTGAATGTTGCTTTTTCTTGTTCGAAATGTGGACGGAGAAAATTCTAGGCCGTGTCATGTCACAGCCATTTGCGGCTTGTGTGTGAGTCGGTGTTCGAAACTTGTACTCGAGGGACTACAGGCCGCTATAGATACCATTAATTGCACGGAGCACATCATCAAGACGATACTCGATTTCTTACACGATCAATGTTTTTCCTCGGATGTTCTTGGTCGTCCACATCTCCCTTTATCGAACTGTCTCTGTCTTCATAAATTTCTCGTGCCATGCACGAATTGATGGACGTGACGGTGGATCTCATCCATACTTAGTTCTAAAGTTTCGCTGAGTCTGCAGATCCGATTTGGTTTCAATAAACTTTTGTAAGGGGTTCATTTAACAGTATCTTATTCATCAACAGATGAACCTGAAATACAATGTGACAGAAACCCTGATAACCACTGAGTACATAGAACAAATCTGACGAAGATATCTCATCAGTTGTCTTTGTATTAAATTTTTGAAAGTCTAAAGAGACTTTATGGACACCCACGTGGGATTATGTTAAAGATATCGTGTGTCGAACAGAGATACGGGACATCACTAATCTAAAGCAGAGAATCACTGATGTCATTGCCACCATTGATGAGGGTATGCTACAGCGAACATGGAAAGAAATCGAGTACCGTCATGATGTGTTTCGTGCAACTAAGTGCCCATATAGAGGTGTATTAAATGAGGCAGACAAAAACTCAAATATATACCCCTCATCTTAGTAATAACTTTCACCTATCTGCCTTTTCATTTGCCTTCGTAATAAATTTTTGAAATTGTAAAGAGACTTTATGGACACCCTGTATTGCATGTGCATCTTTGCATGGACGCGAGGCTTCTGTCTGCTCGTGGCGGCTTCGCGTTCTTCGTGGACGACACGCGCTGTCGTCGAAGAGATACCGGGAGCCTATTGGAAATATCGGAAATATTACGCCCTACTTGCGACGCGACTGTGCCACCCACGTTGACTTTTCTAAATGTCAACGGCGACTCTTGTCGAAGATACACACACACACACACACACACACTCTCTCTCTCTCTCTCTCTCTCTCTCTCTCTCTACGCCTGGTAAAAATAAATTTTCATTGAATCGAGAAACGATCGTTTCGTTGCGACTCGATCGCTTTAATTTATCGCGATAACTTAATTATTTAATTTTTACGGATTGTGATTTAGAACGGTGGGAAATGATGAAGTAATTATGGAGAAGGATGTTGGGAATGATTGAATTTAAATTTTACCTTGCAATTTCTTTTGTTGGGTTTTTCGTATTGTCTTTGCAACTTGTTTAAATCTGTTTTTTAATTCAAGTATGAATTTCGTGACACAGAGAGAAAATCAGCAAGCTCGTTAATCCTGCTTGTGTCTCTTCGGTCACGCTTGTATTCTTCCTAACGTCGAGGAACATTTATCGAATCTAAACATAGTAAATTCTTTCAAAAGTCTGAATGAAGAAAGAAAGTTCACGAGTGTTCATAATCCACAAGATTATATTCTTTATTTAAATCTCATACTCTCAACTAATTATACTTATATATAAATTTTATATACAACATTTATTTACAGTCTACATTTACTGAGAAGTTTTGTTTCTCAATAAATGTGTCACATTGCCTTATAGCTGATTTCATAAACATTTTTCTGTTCGTCGCGTATAATACACGTTAGTTTCCCAATTATGCGAATATATTATCGAGCGACGTAATTCTTTGTAGCAGAAAAAGCGTAGAAAGCCGCGTGCTTTATTTAGCTCACCTTCTTCGTGCGGAAGAAACGAGAGGTCAAGTTCAGCTCTTGAACGTCGGCACGAGGTCTGAATTAAACGGAAAACTCGGTGGCCTACGTAACTTAATATCTGCTTTCGTATCTGGAATCTGGCCTTACAGTCCCGTGAATCCGACCGTTTCGCATAGCTGAGTAGATGGAGCATCCGAATTATGCAGCCGGCGAAATAATTAGGATGCCAAATTGTCGGAGGGGATATTTTCTTGCTTGCGTTCATTTTTTTTCTTTTTGTTTTTTTTTTTTTTTTGTCCAATGGAATTCCACAATGCCTCGATCGATCTATTATAAAAAGTTTGTAGGGTTAGCAGACATTTTTTAATTTAATGATGTCGTTTTGTGATTTTTTTCGAAATCGAAGTTCAAAGACGAACGCACGTATTTAATTGTAATAAATAATAACATTAAATCGCTGTTGTTCTTCTAAGAGTTTCAATTTTTATTTTTTTCTTTTTGTTTTCTTGTGTCATTAGAATATGTAACATTTAATTGTAATGTTGCTGCGTTGTTGTAGTATAAAAGGAAAAGAATCGAGCTTTTAGTTTAGAAATTTAAAAGACGTCTGAGAAAATGGCAGTCATAGTCAATTAAATTAATTAAATTAGCAAAACTTAATTTATCTATTTAATTATTATTTTATCTATTTATTAATCTATTTTATCTATCATATTATTTTACTTATTAATTATTATTTTATCTATTTATTAATCTATTTTGTCTATTAATTTATCTATTTAATATAATTTCTTTAATATCTATTTTACTTAATTTATTTATATCTATTTAATATATCGTTGGTTTGTTTCCCATTTTAGTTATTCTTAATTGTAATTAACATTTTCCAGCAATATCAGTATCTAAAAAATCAAGCTTTTGATTCAAAAATTTGAAATACATCTAGGAAAAGTCGTAGTTATCTTCTTCGATCGAAGGATTAGTTAAATTACCAAAAATTTAATCTGTTTAATCCATCTCAGTTGTAACTAAATATTTTCTAGCGATATTTGTATCCAAGAAGAAGAATCAAGCTTTTAGAATTTAGAAATCTAAGAGACGTCTGAAGAAATGGCAATGATAGTAAACTGCCAAAGTTATAATCTCTATCTCAATTGTAACGAAATAAATGGCAATATCTGCACTATATTTTAAAAATTCCCTTCCCCTGTGACAATATAGATTATTCTTCTATTCTACGTAAACGTTAATCGAATCAATAAATAAGCAGAAAGGAGTTACGTTTGTATTATGGTATCGCGTTCCCCGAATATTGCGATCGTAGATAACCGTTAAAACATTGTAAATCTCGAGGTACGAACAGTGCAGTCCGAGAGAATTGATATTCGCAATCTCTGCGAAGGTCGATCTATCGTCGCGTCTGGACCATTTAACGGGCAACGACGACGACGATGGTCGTTAGTAGAACGAAAAAGGGAATGGGAGGAACGAAGAGGGGCCGAGAGAGAAAAGCACGGTGGTCGGTATCTCCCTTCTCTCGCTTGGCTAGGTACACGAGAAAAAATTCAGCGGCTAAAGTAAAGGGGGAAAGGAGACTTTTGCTACTCGTATTTGAATTACTCCCGCTTCCCAGGACCGTTTCTTTTGTCTGCGCGACATTCGCCCGCCCAAGAATCACCGGGCAAGGGAGCTATCGATCTTTCTTCTATTTCCACCACCGGCCATAATACCGATACACCTTTCGCTGATTCTTCCTTTTGAAATGATCTAGAGACAAGGTATTACAGTCGACTCTGCTCTCGGTTACGATAGAAACTCGACTTACGATTAACTCTGCTACGTTCTTTTGTCCATTTTAGATATAATTGTATTTTTTTTCTTTTTTTTCTTTTAGATCTAATTGTATTTTTTTTTTTTTTTTTTTTTTTTTTTAAGAGACATTTCGGAGTATAGAAGTATTCTTAGTCGTAAAAGCATTCAATGTATCTTTGTAAAATTTCTATTTTTGCTATTTGTTTCTTATTTAGTATTTTTTACTTTTTTTACTTCACAAATTTGCGTTTCTTTTTTTCTATCTCTTATTCTGGCTATTTGTAAAACCATGACGCATTTTCGTTGCCTAACTTCTTGAAATTACATTCGCCGGCGTTGGTCGACTCCGTAACGCTTGTGAGGGCGCGTGCAAAGTAATTGCACTTGTGTTTCTTTACGTTCTATTTTCCACGCGTTCCAGTTCGGGAACAAACAGAGATCTAATTTGAAAGACTTTCAAAGGGAGCGACTCGTAGGCCCACGGAGACCAGGATTGAAATCAACATTTTCCGCGAAACACAGTTCGGCCGTGTCCGTTTTCCAAGCCGATACTCCGCAAACACGATTGCTTTGTTCTCACAATGATGCGAACGGAACATTTCGGTATACCTTTCGCTTTTTCTTTGCAAAATCGTTCAGTCATCAACGGAGACAATATAAATAACGCTTGTTTCTTTTTAGAAACAATTAAAAAGTAAAATGTCAGAATTCGAAATATCGTCAACGGAACGCTGAAACGAGTGTATTGATTTTTGTTGAAACGTGAGTGTCTTTTAAAAATCCATTAATATTCGCACACTAAATATTGAAACTGTTGCAATTTTGTACAAAAGATGTTGAACGACAATAAACTCATGCTCGTTTTAAAGCTTGAAATTTTCAAAATGTGTTATTCATTTTATTTGAAAATGTTTTTGCATCACGTTTCTGCATGGCGAGTGGATAAAATTGTCTCGATACGTAAAAGAATTGAAAAATTGTTTTCACGATTGTATAGTGGATTTGAAAATTGAAGTCTCTCCTTCACAATAATCCTTGAAAACTTGATATACGATTATTTTTGTTGAACTTTGTATGTTAGACTTAAATTAGAGGAAAATTCGAAGAAATTGCGACATTTTCGCTTGATGTTCAAATCGAGAAAATATCGTACAGCAAGGTTTGAGGGATCATTGTGAAAGGAAGACTTCAATTTTTAAATTCATTGCAGATTCAGTCATGGAGAAAATTTTTCAATGCTTCTACACTCTGTGACAATTTATAGCATTCTCTAGAGAAAAAGTGTCTTCACTTTGCATAATGTAAAAAACATCTTCGAATAAAATGACCGATGAATTCCGAAAAGTAGAGGCTTCGAATTCAAGTTCGTCATTGTACGATTCCTTTTTACGAAAGTAAAAGCTTCGATATTTAATGTTCGAATATTAACAGAGGCCACTGTTTTTGGCACAAACGCGAACGAAACACTGAAACAAGTGTGTTGATTTTTTATTGAAACGGTAAAACATCTTGCCGTTGTTTTCGTTTGCTGTCTCTTAACGATTCCGTTTCTTCACCAATTTATTCACTCTCTCTCTCTCTCCCTTTTTTTTCCTTCTGAAATTGTATAAACGTTTTGAGTTTTGGCAGAGAATAGAGAGGACAGATATTTCAGATGTTATTTTATATGCAAATGGAACTGCACATATGGTTCTCTAGGCAATAAAATTAAAGGTAGGGATTGTGCTCGAATACCTATTACTGCTTTACGACGTTATCGAAGAAATACATTTCACGTCCAATCGAAATCGGTTCGTATAGTTTGCTGATGTTTTCTGGCAATTCCCTTATCGGCCAGTTATATTTTGGTTGTCGTCCAAAGTGCCTCGTACAATTTTACAAACATTGCGTGACTAATGACGATATAAATAATTGTGCGATATGATAAAGTGATAAAACACAGAGGCATCTTTATATGTATATATATACAGTTTTTGGGAGCAGGACTTATTTTGGACGAAAATATATACATTTTTCAAAGTTGCAGGTTTCTAAACATCACATTAGTTTTGTAAGCTTATGGGAATTCATCGTACTATAAATTCTTTTGTCTCGTTTTCTTATATATATGTATATAAATATAAATATATTTTCTTCTATATATATATATATATATTAAATTAAAATTAAAATATTATTATAATTTTTATTGCAACTTAAATTGAAAAATTATTATAATTGTTAGGATATATTATAAAATAATATTATTATATTAAAAAATTATATTATTAAAATTATTATAATTATTAGGATGTATTTATTGTCCCTTGTATAATTTCCAATTTAATAGAAAATTTTTAGATACACACACACACACACACACACACACACACACACACACACACACACACACACACACACACACACACACACACACACACACATATATATATATATATATATATATTTAAATTTCCCAATTTAAATTCTAACAGAAAAATTTAAATTCCAATTTCAAACCTCGAACAAAATCCCCAATGATTTTTGATGGTGTTCAATTTACACGCTCGTATTCAAAAATCGAATTTTCGAACAAATTACAGCAAATGACCACCGAAACGTTTCCAACAAACAGTACGACTTTATCCCGATCTCGTTGAAATATCGGGTCTGTTTGCAGACACTACGGTCCGCAAAATCTACGGCACGCCGTCGGCAGAAATTTTCATTATTTTATATCCGCGTGCAAACACGTCACGGCCGATTGTCAGCCGTTTGTTTACGGCGCGGCAATTTTTATTCGCGCCGGTTGCGATATTCGAGCAGTGAAAATGACAACGGGCGTTAAATTGCGACGGTGCAACGCGACGGTGTTTCGGTGGGGAGGGGTGGGAGTTTATCAAGTAACGCGGTGTCGCGGGATCCCGAATGAAATTTCGTTCGAAACGAAATTTCGTTCCAGCCGAACCTCTAACCGGATTTCGCGTTCGCCGGTAACATATTCCCGTTGGCAGAAAAATACAATTTTCTGGCCCTGTCTGGTCACGGAAACTGGTCACGTACGGTTTACCACCCGCTCGCGCACCCTCGTGCGCTTTCATGCTCGTGTACGTACGTACGTACTCGACACTGTCGTTAAACGTTTGGTAGCGGGCCAACGTGGCACGAAACGTTCGCCGAGAGCTTGAAATCCCGTCGCCGACGTTCGACGACGACGACGACGACTGGATTTTAACGAGTGGCTTAACGTTGCTCACTAATTGTCACGGTCGACGAAGTCCCTAAGTGGCGTGGATCCTTACGTTCGGCCTGCTTAACGCTTCGTCTGCGTCAACTTGTCTCTCCTGCCCGGCAACCCAGTTTTCGCTTCTACCGGCACGCTCTTTCATTTATTCCTGAAATTTTTGGCCAAACGTCCGTCGAACGTGCATTTTTAACAAACGATTTTGAGAGATTCTCGAGGAGAGAGGGGGAGGAGTTTGTGATCGTTTCAGTCGAGGATCTTTGTGAAATTAATTTTCGTACGAGAACAATTTTCGTATTTTTATTCTTCACAGGCTGTTAACGAATGTTGGTCGATTGATTGATTGGTTGTGCCTGATAGCCTTTTTCTGGGACGTTTGTCGAGAATCTTCATGAAATTAATTTTCGGATTTTTTACAAGGTATTAGTAAATGTTGGTCGATTGATTGATTAGTTGTGCTCGATAGTCTTTTTCTGGGACGTTTGTCGAGAATCTTCATGAAATTAATTTCCGGATTTTTCACAAAGTATTAGTAAATGTTGGTCGGTTGATTGATTGGTTGTGCCCGATAGCCTTTTTCTGGGACGTTTGTCGAGAATCTTCATGAAATTAATTTTCGGATTTTTCACAAAGTATTAGTAAATGTTGGTCGATTGATTGATTAGTTGTGCTCGATAGCCTTTTTCTGGGACGTTTGTCGAGAATCTTCATGAAATTAATTTCCGGATTTTTCACAAAGTATTAGTAAATGTTGGTCGGTTGATTGATTGGTTGTGCCCGATAGCCTTTTTCTGGGACGTTTGTCGAGAATCTTCATGAAATTAATTTTCGGATTTTTCACAAAGTATTAGTAAATGTTGGTCGATTGATTGATTAGTTGTGCTCGATAGCCTTTTTCTGGGACGTTTGTCGAGAATCTTCATGAAATTAATTTCCGGATTTTTCACAAAGTATTAGTAAATGTTGGTCGGTTGATTGATTGGTATTTCATTGTGTTTGGTAGTCCTTTTCTGGCACGTTCATCGAGGATCTTCGTGAAACTAATTTTCGTATTTTTCACGAAGTGTAAATGAATGTTGGTCGATTGATTGATTGATTGATTGGGGAATAGATGTGTTTTATTTGTTCCAGTGGAAATTTTTGTAATGTGAAATTGTTGTGTTTACTTGAACGTTCTACGAAATAGTATGCAAATATTTCTTACGATCATTATAGTAATTATTAACTGTCGTTTTTCGTCGTCAATGAAAATTTTTCAATGCATACAGAATTAAATAATCATCGTTCATGGCAATTTCATATTTACTCCAACAACACGAAGCTCTTCTATAGACTCTATTTAAAATAAATACTTACTAATATATTTTAAATAATGCTTCATACACTTCAAATACTTAAAATACTATAAAATATTATATTTGAAATAAACACTTACATTACTGATATATTTTAAATAATACTTCATATGAAACAAAGATTCTATTTCAGATATCTTATCCAGAGAACCATCTGTCAATTCAAATCGCACTTCTCTCTCTCTCTCTCTCTCTCTCTCTTTTTCGATTTAGAAGGTCCCAGGGTATTGGAATAAAACTTTTTTGCAATATCCGCGAGAATTTTCGCGAACGTTCGCTTGATGGATAACCGGCTCTGTTTGCAATCTCTCTCTCTCTCTCTCTTTCTCTTGCTTTTTTTTCTTTTTCGTTACTTCTTTCATTTTTCGGATCACAGTTCGTTGCTCGTCCAATTAATTTGCGACGATCGTTTTTCCAAGTTTGGCGCGGAAATGCATCGCGAGGACGCGCCATTAATTTAGAGTGACTTCTCTATACGATCTTCTTGCGATCTCCAGCTTCGTTATATATACTCTAACACGCTGCGAAAAATCAAACGACGATCGCGCTTTGGGGAACGTTATTCCTGAGATTCCTGGCAGGATCGTAAGGCAGATTTTTTTTTTTTGAACAAGACCAGGAAATTATAATTACTCGCTGTTAACAAACCGGTGAAACGAAGCGACGAGCCGGATAACAAGCGAAACGGTTGGTTTATCAGCGAACTTTTGACCCAAATCGACGCTTAGCACCGGAATGTTTAAGTACTTTGTGAAAGAGACGAGATAAAGTTGAAATGGCAGAGCAAAGACAGAAAGTGCGGTAACAGGGTTAATCGAAGTTAATTGAAATTCACTTGGCGTTCTTCGGTTAAGTAATTTTGTTAGATCTTCTTAATGCAGCTCGGAGCGTGTCTTTTTACTGAAGAAAGGAACTCGCAAGTTCCTTGAAAGATTGTATTTTAAACTGTCGTAATATTTCGTGAAAAAGAAATCGTATAACAATCTGTTTTAAAGCCTCACTTCGACAATCCTAAGTTCGAGTTTTTTCAAAGATGTGTTTACATCATGCAGCGCAATTATATATGTATAAATATAACTTAAAATTAATATAATTAAATAAAGTTTTATAACAAAAATATATTTTAGTGATAATTTAAAATTAATAATATTATTAATAGTTAAAGGAATGAAAATGATTCTTTTAGAAATAAATGAGTAAAATTTATTTTGTACCTTTTGTATCAGGGTTAATTAATTTATTTTAATAATTTTAATTATCCCGAAAGTAAATGATTTAAATATATATATATATTTTTTTTCTGAAATAAAAAAAATAAATATATATTTAGAAATTAAATGTTTGTCGTATTTATTAATATCTAGTTTCTTTTTAAATAAATTTAATTTTTCTCAAATCTTTATTCGCGAAAAGTATAAAAACTCAAAAGTCTTCAAGATTGATGAAAAATTTTTCTCACGACTGGATCGAAGTTTCTTCTTTACAATAGCTGCTTTGCTATTTTATTAAATATTCGGATTTCTTGAATTTTTGTTTATTCGAACTTTAACAAAATGGTGAAAACTGTTTTCGAAAGTGTATAAATTCAAAGGTCTTGAAAATTAATGAAACATATTTTTCATGATTAAATCCATCACGATCATAAAGCTTGACGTTTTCCCTTCCTAATTTTCTCTACGATTCTTTTTCGCTATTTTGTTAAATATTGAATATTAGGATTAGAATTATTAAAATCTCTTGAATTCTTGTCGTTCGTTTAACTCCAATAAAGTTGCGAGAAGTCGTCGCGAAAGAAAGACATCGATCTTCAAGATCATGGTCATGAGAGAAATTTGTGATCTTGCGGACGTCTGAACGTACCCAAAAAAGTCTTCGGAGTCCACAGAGGAGAAAGTAATAATCTGGCATTTATCAAGTAATTGACGTCGACCGTGCGTATCGATACGCGTTGTATCGCGATCCGGTGATCCCCCCGAGCAAATTGCACGATACGCGTCGGCGGGAACGTCGTATGTGCGTTACGGTAGTTCATATTTCATGAGGATCGAGCGGTATCAAGCATTCGAAGCAGGTTCCAAGTGTTTGTTACCGCGTCGATAAGGGCTGCTGGCTTGGCTGTAGGCGGGATGGGATCGCTGAAGGAGGGGTTGTGTAACTGCAACATCTGTTGGTGAAGATCTTAAGGTCTATCCCCGCGTTGGTATCCCGCATCTGTTGTTCAGACGTTTCGACACATCGCGAGCTTTCCACTCCTCGAGGGGTGAAACCTCGGGGTGCGACGTTGAGAACATTTCGAATCGTAAAGAGGCGCGAGAGACGGCCGAGCTTGCCATCTCACCGTGACTCGCGGCATTTCCGCCTAGATTATTGATTAAAGAAACGATAAAATTGCGATTTCGCGAGATTGAAAGATAAAGAGATTGATGATACTGCGCGATGATAAATAGCCGCGTGATTTTGTTAGCATTGTTGTGCTCGAAAGATTACAAGGGAACGTGCCCAAGTTTTGTCAATCATTGTTGGCATAAATGTGGCTTTCGAAAAGAAATATTTGACACTTTTCTATTTATCGGCAATCGTCGATGTAGAAACTTACTCTCGAAGTATTATATACGTCAAATATCTCGGAAATTAGTGAAGATATAGTTCATTGATGAAATTAATGTTTTTTTTTTTTTTTTTTTTAATGACGAATTTAACTGTGTATATATGATTTTGCGAAGGAATCATTTCTTTGAACAATACATTTAAAAAATCGTATTCTTATCACTTTTCGATGGTTTTTCCTTAAATATTTGTTTACGAAAACTATATACATTTCAAACACAAACTGCGGATAAATTGGAATCTCTTTTGGTCAATTTATGCGAAATTTCATCGGAATCGGTGATTGACACTTCGGCATGTTAGAGAACTTAGACTCCGATGAGACTTCAGTGATGTTTCTACTTTTTGAACTATCTTCACGATATATTGTCGCGTTTCATTTGTTCCTCTTCATTCTTAATAATATCTTTCTCAACCTCGTGGTTCATCGTAGATTAAACTTCGCGAGTTTTTTTTTTACTTCTAATCGACAATCCTCGTTGATCATTTTCATTCGATTTCTTTTGCCGACTATTGCCGACATTAACTGTCTCATTATAATTGAGAACACTTGTGAAACACATTCTCCCCCGCAAAGGGAAATTCATTTTACTGGAACGAGCAAACGAACGATGTTCACAAAGTTTCATTCACGAGGATTTTCATTTCCAGCCGTGGAACGTAAACAACGGTGCTGCTCCTTTATTCGAAGTTGAAGCAGCCCGAGAACCGCTTAATGACCGGGGCAAATAATAGTATCGTACGTTCTGTTAGCAGAGGACTTACCACGGTACGTGGCTTCTGCTCCACGAACTCTCGAGCATTGTCGTGAGACTTTATAAAATGCTTGGCTGCGCCAGTTGAAGCAAGATGTGGTGCTACACACAAACGAAATTGCGCCTCGAAATTCCAAGTCCAAGTACTTGTTAAGTCACATTAACAATTGATCTGCACGATCGTAATTATCTGGTAAGATTGTAGAAAATTGCCTACGAGTGAAAATAAACATGAAAAACGCTGCGTGAGGTTACAAAGTTGTAGAAAAATTTTGAATATGTTTGTACCTGCAAGGAATATCTTCATCTTTTGTACTGATGCGAATTCATTAAGGACATTTTGAATTTCTCTCGATAATCTTTGTCTCAGCAACTGGATTATTAATATTAAGTTGTCAAATTAATTATTCGCGTTATATATTTATCGTACACTGTTTGTTTTATAGTTCCCCGTAAATAGAAATCAAGCGGTGTATGATTTGAAACCATTGAAATGGTTTACTCGAATCGATTCTGACAACGTGCGATATTTACTTGTAATTTTGTAACAAAGTTCGTACAATATTTGTTTCTTATTTTCACTGTACCTAATTTAACAAAAAATTCGCGAGTTTTATTTAGACAACGGATTTAAAAGTGAAGATTTTAAGTGTAACACAAGGAGGGATATCCCTTCTATTTAATGGCGTAACAAGTTTCTCGTGTCTCTGCTCTCAGAGTGAACCGTTCTCACGGTTGCGTGAAGCGCAATTTTCGATCACAAGTCTTGCATGAAGCTTCCCGACATCTGCCTCGATTCTTCGGTTTCTTCCACTGGGGGAAGACTTTCCCCGAGCACGAGAGAGAGACTGACTCATGAAATATTTTTACGAAGCACGAAGACTTCGCAAAACTTTCAGATCCTTTCTCTTCTTTGTGACAAACGGACATCTTCTTCTTCGACGTTTACGTATCACGATAAAAATATCGCTTTGCTCGAGAGAGCGATCCAATTTCAATTATTTCGCAGAGTATTCTCGGAAGACTTTGCCAACGGCAAATTTTATCAAACGTTTTTCTAGAGGACAGTTGTTTCCAGAGATTTTTTTTTAGTAACGTCGTAATAATTCCTTGAACAATTTTTTCGTACGTTTTATTACAATGGGACAGATGTTTCTACTAATATGCTCTAAATTATATGCATGTTGAAAGAAAGTAGAATACTTTTACCTCAGTTTTTGTCTCTTTAGTATTAACAAAGATTTTAAATCAAACTTTCTTGAAATTCTTCATTTTTGAATTTACACTTGTAAACAATTAAGACGTGTGTGTATTAAGTAATCTACGAATCTGCTATTTCATTGTATTTTTTCCTTCCTTCTATATATTTTTATTCATTTCTCTCTTTATATATATATTTATTCATTTCATTCTTTGTAAATTGTAAATTGTATTTGAAAACGAAACTGATCTAAAAGAAATGACACACAGAACAACCTCTTTGTACCATGTGAACTATTATTTTCCGAATATCTTAATATTTCAATGTTATACTATCTATTGATATTGTCTGCTAATAATTAAACTTATTACTTATAAATCACTTTATTACAGTAATATAGCTGTTAGCAATTAAATAGTAACATAACTCTTAGACATTGAGATATCCATGAAACAAAAATTTAGACGAAGGTGACTCTACTGTACCTAAATAAAACTTCTTCAGAGTACATACTAAAAAGTACATTCTCAAAAGAGAAAGAAAGAAACAAATTCGTCGATGTAGTTCACAATACAATTTACACGAAGCACTTAATGTCGCACAATCCAAGCTACATAAATTCAACAGACCATTCTCATCTCCGTTCACTTCTCCCAGTGAAAAACCATTACACGACTGACGGAATTGTAACAATTTCTCAGTTTCACGGAGAGAGGATCCTCCCTCTCTCTCTCTCTCTCTTTTCTTTTTGCACGCGTCGCGCGACCATGTTCAGACGCATTTTCGTTTTAATGGCGCACGGAGAGACTTGATGGAATCGCGGACGATCCTTCCAGGCAGCGGCGCGACATTGTGGTAAATTCCACGCCGTCGTAAATCTACGGGACAAATTCCACCCCTCGTATTCTCGTTGCCGCAATAAATACGAATCGTTCGTGTGAGCACGTTTGACTGCCGGCCGTGAGAAGTCTCGATTTTCCGCGTGACACGTCGCCCGTACGTCCTGATTTTCACGGGGAATTAAAAGTTTCCTCCGTTTCCGGCCGCTGGCGATATATATATACGATATACAT